ATTGTTTATTTCATTTATGTAAGTGTAATCGAAATAAGTGAAAGAGAAACCAGCTGGAGATCTATTTAACAAAATCTGATTTTGTCAATATTGCTTTTGTTATGAATTGCATAATTAAATTCCGTTCTCTGTCTCCCGCCCCCTCCCTCTCCTTCCCTTCGTCTCCCTTTCGTCCATTTTCTCTTTCCTCTTCTCTCCTTGTTATCCAATATCTCCCTTCTTCTCGTCCTTAACCTGTTCCTCCCTTCCTCTCTCTTCTGTTTTCTTTCCCTCAGCTTGCCATTCCTTTCCTCTATTTCTCTTTCTCCCTTTCTCTCTTTCCACCCCTCTCCTTCCGCTTCTACACTCCTCCCCGCTTCCCTTCCATTCCCTTCCTCTTTCTTCATTTCCCCCCACCCACTTTCTTTCGCTCCTTCCCTCCCATCCCTCTAGCTTCCTTCCCCCTCCTCTCCCTTCCTCCCTTTCCCCTACACTCATATTCTTCCCCTCCTTCTCTCTCCCTAACACACTATCTTTCCTAACTTCCCTTCCCTTTTTCTTCCCCCTTCCTCACCTCCCTCCCCTTTCTTTCCCCTCCTTCCCTCCCCTCTTCCTCCTCCCACCCCTCTCCTTCCCCCTTCACCCCTCCCCTTCCCCCTCCCCTCCCTTTCCTTCTCACCCCTCCCTCCTTCCCCTCCACCCTCCCTCCTTCCCCTCTCACCCCTCCCTCCTTCCCCTCACCCCTCCCTCCTTCTTCTCACCCCTCATCTTCCCTCCCTCCCCATCTCCCCCCCTCCCCATCTCCCCCCCTTCCCCCTTTCCCTTAGACTCCCGAAGACTCACTTAGATAAAGAGATATGGATTCTCGACTTGTAAATTGTTATCGCTTATCGCGTTATAAGGCAATGTAACTATGGATACGGATGTGTGTGTGTGTGTGTGTGTCTGTGTGTGTGCGTGTTGTGTGTGTTGTGTGTGCGTGTGTGTGTGTCGTGTGTGTGTGTGTGTGTGTGTGTGTGTGTGTGTGTGTGTGTGTGTGTGTGTGTGTGTGTGTGTGTGTGTGTGTTCGTCCGTGTCTGTGCGTGCGTGAAGGGGGAAAATGGGAGAACGCAAAATAAAGAATCGGAGAAAAAAGAGGAGAAAGAGAGAAGGAACAGAGGGGAAAAGTAGATAGAAGGGGAAAGAAATAACGAAAGAAAGGAGAGGAAGGAAGGACATAGTTGTAAGGGGGAGAGAAAAAAGGGTGATGGAGGGGTAGATATGTACTTAAATACCCTTAGCGCTCACTTCCAATGGCTCTGGGAGGGGAAGGGGGAAGGGGGGGAGGGGAAGGGGAAAGAAGTGTACGGGGGGTGAGGGGGAGGAGAAGGGACTTTGTAAAGTGATATGAATGAGTGTTTGTGTTCCAAGTGGGCTGGGAGAGGATATCGAAGGCGGCGTATGAATCACACGTATATAAGTATCCTCTAAGTGGCTGAATAAGGACCTCACAAGGGGGTGGCCTTTACAGAGCCGCTCGGGGATACTGCTTACAGGTGTTGGGAAGATAATAAGAATGAAACACTTGAATCAAAACGCAGATTGTGGCACGCGACGAAAGTTATTTTTTTATATATATCTATTTTTTATTTTATTTTGTTTTTTTATTTATTCATCTATTTTTATTTTTTATTTATTATCTATTCTTTTTTACTTATTTATTTATTTATTTATTTGGTATTCTAGGAGCATTGAAATGGTAAAATGGATGTGATTATCGCATTTATTTTCCTTTTTCTTCTAATTTTTTATATTTTTTCGTTTTCTACGAGACAGAACACTAGAACGAACGTAACGTATATGATAAATCCTTTGCGCTGATTGCTTACGTCACGCGCAAGATACACAGCGCATCATATTATTTTCGGTCAGAGTGAAAATAATGAATACATGGGTGATATAAAGTGAAAAAAGCTGTTATATTCCTGTCATGTTTACATTCCGTCAAAAGTTTGGTGATATTTAGACTCGCTCCAAGATGAGTCATGTTTTCGCTCGTTCTTGTCTTAGTAAAGTCATATTTGATTATATCGCGACTAGAATCTGTACTTCGTGCAATTTAGACTTAGAAATATTCGTATTTTGGCGCATTTGACATAATATGAGTGTTAGCTTGACTCACTCCTGACTAAGATAATATTTTGACTCATTCCTATCTAAGACGATGCGGTATTTTGACTCACTCTCAACATGAATGAGTAATACTTTGACTCACTCTCTAAGGCGATGCGATACTATGACTGACTCTCTGTATGAATGAGTGATATTTTGACTCACGCACTAAGCCGATATGATACCTTGACTCACTCCCGTCTAAGTTGATGCGATAAGATGACTCACAACATGAATGAGTAGGCCAATATTTTGACTCACTTAGACGATGCGATATTTTGACTCATTCTCAACTTGAATGAGTAAAATTTTGGCTTAACCTCCGTCTAAGACGATGCGATAACTGACTCACCCTCATCTTAAACGAGTAATATTTTGACTCACCAAGACCACGCGATCCCTTGACTCACCCGCGACTCACCGGCGGACGAGTGCGGGCGGAATGGGTGACATATCGATTCTTCTTCGCTGTTTACCCGAAGTATTTATGGAAAAATCATTAGCCCCGATCCTTGGCGGGGAATCGACCTTGTGGCAGGGGGTCATAAGGGCGAGGAAGGTTGACTCGCGAAGGTGTTGTGGGTTATGGGTTTTTGGGAGAGATGGCTTAGCTCTCTTTTCCTCCTTCGTGGGGCGCTTCTCACTTTCTTATCTCTCTCTCTGCTTATAATTGTATATATGGATATATGTATGTATATATTCATATATATGTATGTATGTATATAAATATGTATGTATGCATGTATATATATGTATATATATATATATATATATATATATATATATATATATATATATATATATATATATATATGTATATTAGGTATAGAGAGAGAGAGAGAGAGAGAGAGAGAGAGAGAGAGAGAGAGAGAGAGAGATAATATATATATATATTATATATATATATATATATATATATATATATATATATATATGTATATATATATATATATATATATATAGAGAGAGAGAGAGAGAGAGAGAGAGAGAGAGAGAGAGAGAGAGAGAGAGAGAAGAGAGAGAAAGCCCATTCAAATCTGAACCGCCGCCACGCGACGTTTAAGAATGACAAAAGCACAAGATATCAACCGCTTTCCACCCCCTCCTCCTCTCCCTCCCCCCCCCCCCTCCTCCTCCTCCCTTTTACGTGTCCTCCTAAACGTCTGCCACAGAGAGCCCAAATGCAGAACAATGGCCGCTCTTTATGTGACCTGCCTTTGACCTAACGTGACCCCGGTATGATGTAATGAAGGTAAGGGGGGGGTGGGGGTGGGGGGGGTCAAGAACGAAGGGGCGATGGGGAGAGGGAGGAGGAGAAGGGGTGGGTGGGGGGGGGGTAGGCAGGGGGACGAGGGTTAGTTGCGGGTTTGACCTGTCGATGCAACAGAAAGGTCAGTTGCTTGTGACCTATTGACCGAGGTGGTTGTGGTTGTCGTTGTAGTGGTTGTGAGTGATTTGGACCAGCTGTTTATCCTAGAACGGAGAACATTGGATAATAACTTATTGTGTTTGTTGTGGTTTTTGTGCTTGTGCTCGCGTGGATAAAATATTGCTTTTGTGCAACAGATTTGGAATTTACAAAGTCTAATTCCAAAGTTATCACCATGTATACGTAAGTATTCTAAGAGAAGATATATATATATATATTATATATATATATATATAATATATATATATATATATATATATATATATATATATAGCACACACACACACACACAAATAGAATAAGAATTCATTTTTTGTTGTGCAACGAACGCTAAAATGTTGCATAGGCCTACCTTTAAAGAATAATTAGAACTTAATTGAAAAAAGTTCCCTCGCTCTTTTTTATTGACGATAATCTAATTACCCGAGGATGTTTGCTTCAAATTACGTTTTAATATGCAAATTTTACAGTGTTATCATCGGCGCTTTGGGATCATAACTGTTATTGTTCGATGCGCTTTTGTCTCTCTGATTTGCGTTCAGTTATTTCCTTTGTTTCTTTTCTTATTCTTTTATTGTAAAGATGGATTTGTTTAGAGCGTTAGATTCATGATTGGTATAAACTGGTGTGTTCAATTGGTATATAGGCCTACACACGCACATGCACGCGCGCGCACACACACACAACACACACACACACACACACACACACACACACACACACACACACACACACACACACACACACACACACACACACGCACACCACACACACCACACGCAAACACACACGCACACACACACGCATACACACACGCAACAACACACACCACACAAACAAACACACACAATCCTCGCACACACAAACAAACACGTTCTCACACTAGCCTTTCGCTGCTGTCCTGCAACATACACTTGCATGCTGGAGTAAAAAAAAAAATGTGGAAGCTCCTCGTCTGAATGTCTTTATCTAAAATGCATTTCGTTTCTCTTTCCTTAATATCGATTCTGTTGCCTTCCCTGTAAACAAATTCTTTGTCGATTTGTTTATGTGTGTGTGTTTGTTTTGTTATTTTGTGTTTGTTTCGGCTGGATGTCTGATTTTGTTCCTATTATTATATATTATGTATGTGTGTAGATGGAGAGAAAGATAGATAAACGGATATAGAAAGAGATACATTCTTTTCTTTATATTTTTATTTGTAAATAAACAGTTTGGTTGTCACAATCATCATTATTATCATCATTATTATTATCATTATTATCATCATTATTATCATCATTATTATCATCATTATTATCATCATTATTATCATCATTATTATCATCATTATTATCATCATTATTATCATCATTATTATCATCATTGTCATTATCATTATTGTTCTTTTTTGCCCACTCATCTAATTCTTCTTCTTCTCTCCCCCCCCGCCCCCCAACAGCGTGGGCCTCGGACGCGCGCACTTCGAGAAGCAGCCTCCGAGTAATCTCAGAAAGTCGAATTTCTTTCACTTCGTCATCGCTCTGTACGACCGCGCGGGGCAGCCCATCGAGATCGAGAGGACGGCCTTCCTTGGCTTCATCGAGAAGGACCAGGTGAGTTTTATGGCCGTTGGGGGAGGGGAAGGGAGGGAGGGAAAGGGAGGGGTAAGGGAGGGTAGGAGTGGGGAAGGAGGGGAGGCGTGAGGGAGGGTAGGAGTGGGGAAGGAGGTTGGGGAGGAGGGAAAGGAAGAAGGGGAAGGACTAAAGAGAGGGAGAGGGTAAGGGGAGTAGACGGGAGGGAAGGAGGGACAGGTGGGAGGTGTGGAGGAGAATATAGATGGGGATACTGGAGGAAGGAAAGAGGGGGAAGAAGAGGGAGAGAAGAGCACACCCGAATCACGCTTATGCAATACATCTCCTTATGTAAACCTCAAACTGAACCCAGCGCACAGAACAACTTAAAAAAAACACCAAAAACAAAACCCCAAAACGAAGTCACCAGACGTCCATCCACCCTCCTCCTCCTCCCTCCCTCCTCCCTCCTTCCCCACACCGCGTAAATCTATCGATGACGTCATGGTACCCAACTTACCCCTCGGTCTCGACTTACCGACCCCGCCCCCCCCCAGCAAGAAAGGTCAAGCAAATACCAAGGTCTGAGCGCGCACCGTCTTGCATTGTGGCCGCATCCCGTCTTGGCCTTTGGCGCGGGAAGGTCGTGGAGCAAACGCGGCTGGAGTTCCCCTCGACAGGACAGGCGGAAGGGAGGAGAGACAGACAGACAGATGGAGAAGTATTCAAAGAAGGGAAGACAGATAGAGAGAGAAATAGGGACTGGCGGATAGATAGAGAAGTATTTAAGAAGGAAGACAGATAGAGAGAGAAATAGGGACTGGCAGATAGATAGAGAAGTATTTAAAGAAGGGAAGACAGATAGAGAGAGAAATAGAGACAGATAGACAGATGGAGAAGTATTTAAGAAAGACAGATAGACAGATGGAGAAGTATTGAAGGAAGACAGATAGAGAGAGAAATAGGGACTGGCAGATAGATAGAGAAGTATTCAAAGAAGGGAAGACAGATAGAGAGAGAAATAGGGACTGGCAGATAGATAGAAAGCGAGACAGATAGGGAGGAGACAGATAAAAAGAAGTGGAGACTGACAGATAGATAGAAAGCAAGATAAATAGGAAGACGGACAGCCATATTTAAAGGAAGGAAGACAGATAGAAAGAAATGGACACTGACAAATAGATAAATATCAAAATAGGAAGACAAACTGAGAGAAAGAAATGCAGACTGACAAATAGATAGAAATCAAGACAAATGACAAAGACAAATGAGGCTGGCAAATAGACAGAAAACAAGCAAGACAGCCAGGAAACAGTACAGACAGGCAAGAGGAAGTAAGGCAGACAAACAGACATTCAGATGCGGCAGTAACAGCTACCAAGTAGAAGGAGACACAAGCAGGAAGAGGCATAAGCATTCGAAAACCTTAAAAGCTCTAGGTCTCATCTCTATCTCATGTCGAATAGGTTCATATACGTAGTCATATCGTAGAGTTTTTTTTTCTTCTTTATTCTTTTGTTTGTGATGAAGAAGTTCCAACCGCGGGTGAGAGATGCTTCTATGGGTTTAGATCCTTGTTTATTGGGATTTGATGCTTTATGATGGGATCCGATGCTTTATGAAGGAGAGGAATCGCGGTGTATAAAGAGATGTTTACATTTATTAGGCGTTTATACTACATGGTGAAGTCGAGGAAGAAAATAAGAAGTAGAAAGAAGGAAAAGAAGAAGAAGAAAGAGAAGAAAAAAGAAGATTATGAGATGATGAGGATGGGGAAGATAATGAGGATGAGAGAGAAGGACACTAAAAGGAAAGAAGACTAAGGAGCATAAGAAGAAGAATAGCAAAAGAAGAATGAGAAGAAGCAATAGCAAGAACAAGTCCCAGCCAAGACTTTCCCCAGACAGAATTCGGTGCTCTGTCCTGCCATAAAACTGCCTAGTAGCCTCGCCCGCCTCCACCTTCAAGACCGAAATAAAGCTGGTCCCTTCTCTAGCTCCCCTCCCCCTCCTCCTCCCTCCTCCTCCCTCCTCCTCTCCTCCTCCTCCTCCTCCTCCTCCTCCTCCTCCTCCTCCTCCTCCTCTCCTCCTCCTCCTCCTCCTCTCCTCCTCCCTCCTCCTCCTCCTCCTCCTCCTCTTCGAAGACCACTAGCCCCTTCCCGGAGAACCCCCTTGCAGACCTCTTTGCAAAGACCCCTCTTGGAGATCCCCTTCGAGAGACTCCCTTTCAAAGATCTCCTTTTAGAGACAGCCTTGTGAAGACCCCCTCCTGGAGACCTCTTTGTAAAGACCCTCGCTTGCAGACCCCCTTTTTAGAGACCCCCGTTTGGAGACCTTTTTCTAAAGACCCCTCTTGGAGACCCCCTTACAGAAACCCCCTCTCCCAAGACTTATCAACGAAGAGGGAGATGGGAAGGAATGAACGAGGAAGAGGGTTTAAGGGGGAGGAAGAGAAGGAGGGGCTTAGGAAGGGAAGAGAGGTAGAGGGAGGGAGAATATGAAAAAAAAGAAAACAGAAAGATAGAAAGGTGAGAGAGACAGAGACAGACAGATATAAAGAGAGAGAGACAGGGACAGGCAAACAGAGAGAGAGAGAGACAGACAGACAGATAGACAGAGAGAAAGAGAGAGAGAGAGACAGACAAGAAAGAGAGAGAGAGAGAGATAGAGGAGAGAGAGACAGACAGAGAAAGAGAGGAAGAGAAGAGGAGAGAGTAACACGCTCACTCACACACGGACTGCGTAATACCCTCTGCCACAATTACCGTCACCGATTATACAATTACTCCCGGGGAATAACTCGTACGTGCTTATTATAAAACTGATTCACTATCACAACAAAATTACCTTCCCTTCCTACTCTCCCCCCACCCATCTCTTTCCCTCCCTCGCCTGTTCCCTTCCCCTTCCCCTTCTTCTCCTGCCTCTTCTCCCCCTCCTCTCCTTTCTCCTGTCCTTAACCCCTCTCCTCTTCTCCTGTCCCTTCCCCTCCTCTCTTCTCCTGTCCCTTCCCTCTCTCCTTTCCCCTCCTTTCCCTTTCCCTTCCTCTCCCCCCCTCCCCCTCTCCTCTTCTCCTGTCCCCTTCCCCTCTCCTCTGGCTCTCTCCTCTCTTCCCCTTCAACTTCTCCTCCCCCTTCCCCTTCCTTCGGCTTCCCTGTTCTCAAACATACCATTTTGCTTCTTGACTTTTGTGGGGGAAGAGGAAATGGCATGAGAGAGAGAGAGAGAGAGAAGAGAGAGAGAGAGAGAGAGAGAGAGAGAGAGAGAGAGAGAGAGAGAGAGAGAGAGAGAGAGAGAGAGAGAGAGAGAGAGAGAGAGAGAGAGAGCTTTGCGCAAAATATTATGACTTCTCACATGTCCCCTTCCCATGCGCTTCTCTCTTTTGTGACGGCTGTTACGAGCGTGACGCAGTGACGAGCCCACGCACTACTCCTCCCCCACCCTCCTCCTCCTACAATCCTCTCTCCCAGCTTCCTTTCCTTCCTTCATCTCCTCCTCTCTTCCTCTCTCTCCTTTCCATCTTCTTCAGCCTTGTATATAAGACTCATCCTACCCGTCACATTTTACACCCTCCTCCCTCTCCCTCTCACCCTCCCTCCTCCCCCTCCTCCTCCACTTCCCTCCCTCCCTCTTCCCTCCCCCTCCTCCTCCATCTTCCCTCCCTCCCTCCCTACCCCCCACGTTCTTCCCACACACCCCTAATCTATTTATTCAAAGATTCAAAGAGTGCGTGAACTTGTTGTAGAAAAGCATTATTATCTCAGCCAAAAAATAATCACCCCGCGTTAAGCGCCGCGCATAATTTCACTTAAGACAGAAACACCGGTTTGTTCGCGTTTTTTTTAAGGGGGCGTGTGTGCGCGTCGTAGTAAATTCACACATAAACCGGGCTAATGCGGTGATATAACAAGTTAATGGTAGAGTAGACCTCGCTCGGAAATATACACAATGAATAGGCTCGAGACATTAAAAAAATATAGTTTGGGGAAAAGAAAGAAAGAAAAGAGGCAAAAATGTGGATATAGGAAGTAAATGAAATGTATATAAATTGTAAGAAAAGAGAATGGAGGGAGGGAGAGAGAAAGAGAGAGAGACAGAGACAGAAGGAAGAGAGAGAGACAGAGACAGAAACAGAGATAAACAAACAAAGATGAAGAATGAAGAAAGAGAGGGGTAAGCGAGGGAGAGAAAGAGAAAAGAGAGGGCAGAGAGGGAGAGAGAAAGAAAAAAAAAGAGAAGAAATGCACCCTTTAAGAGACAGTATTATTTAATAGTGATAGAGTTTAATTGACGACAGAAAACGCGGCACTGGCTACAGCACTTTTGGTCACGTGACTCAATAATACCCACTTGGATCTAAAGGGTAAACAGGGTAATTGCAGGACAGGGGGGGGGGTGGATATCCCCTTCCTCTCTTCCTTCCCCCTCCTCCCCCATTACTCGCTATTGCTTCTGATTCCCCCTTATCCGTTTTTTCTCTCTCTTTTTTCCCTCTCCTTTTCTCTCTGTTTCTCTTGATTTTCGATTCTCTTCTTATGTCTCGATACTGTTCTTCTTGTTTCTGTTTTATTCTATTTGTTTTTCTTTCTCTCTCTCCCTCTCTCTCTCCCTCTCTCTTTCTTTCTCTCTCTCTCTCTCTCTTTCCCACCCACACTCTCTCGCTCTCTCCCTCCTTCCCTCTTCCTCCCTCCCACACTCTTTCCCTCCCTCTCTCCCCCTCCTTCCCTCCCACCCCTCTCCCCCTCCTCCCTCTCCCTCCCTCCCTCCTCCCTCCCTCCCTTCCCCCTCCTTCCCTCCCTCCCACTCTTCCCCTCCCTCCCACCCTCTCTCCCTCCTCCTCGTAAATTAAATACCATCTACCTCATTGTTAAATCGTGGGTTTGGGGTTTTTAGAGGTGGGAGGCGGGGGTCGGCGGGGCGGGGGGAGGGGGAGGGGGTAGGGGTTATAATTATGTAATTGCTCCTTGTCTACGCTTGGCTGGCCTTGCTAATAGCGGGCATCGGTTGCTAAATTTAATGTCCTGAAGTTCATTGGTAATTTCATGCACAATGTTGTTGTTTTTTTTCCTTCTCATTCTTGTTGACCACTTTTTTTTTCTTTTTTTTTTTTTTTTGGATAATGATTCTTGTTGTGTCGTGTTTTCTTATTGCCTTTTTTTTTAAATAATGATTCTTGTGGTGTCTTTTTTTTTTTTTTTTTACTGGGCGAATAATGTGATTCTATTGGTCTGTCTCTTTGCTTTGTGCCAAAATTCGACTAGGATGGAGGGTGTCACCCAGACAGGAAGGTACAGAACTAAGGTTTTACGTAATAGAGAGAGAAAAAAATGTCATGCATGTTTTTTTTCGTATCTTATGGTTATATCTAATCTATAAATCTCTTTCTGTATTTAGAATAAAGATCTACTTCAAAATCCATTGATAAAGATAATTTCAGTATCTATGTTAATCTTATTTCATCTGTATCAGATTTCAAGTGATAAAGATAATCTTAGTATCTTATTAATTTAATTTCTTTATCTATATCACAATCCAGATCTTAAAGACAATCAAATTATCTTATCAATATCATTTTTTCCCCTCATATCAGAATCCAAATAATGAAAATAATATCAAAATCCTCTCCACACTTTTAAAGAAAATAAACACACCATTATTTCCCTCAACATTTTTATTTATCCATTTATTTATCATTTTCTCAATCGGGATCATTTTCTCACGCCCTTTTGCCCTCCTTCTGCCCTCCTCCAGGAACCCGAAGGACAGAAGACGAGCAATGGCATCCACTACAGATTACAACTCCTCTTCGCAAACGGTAAGTCTTTGGTCTAAATTCCTTTTGTTATTTGTTATTGTTGTTATCTTTATCGTTTTGTTATTATCGTTATCATGGTTATTGTTATTATTATTGTTGTTATTATCCTTATCATTACAAGCATTGTTATTATCATTATCTTATTATTATTATTATAATTATCATTATAATTGTTGTTATTATTATCGTTATTTTTATCATCATCATCATTAATGATATTATTGTTATTATCATTGTTACTATTCTTATTATCATTTGCATCGTCCCTATTATTATTACTATCCTTTTTGTTATCAATATTATCTGTATCATTATTATCATATATTGTTATGATTATCATCATTATATTATTATTATCATTATTGTTATTAGTATTATCATATTATTATCATTATTAATATTATCATCATCATCATTACCAGACTTTAAGGATTTTGGTTTTGTTTGATTTTCTTTTTCTTTTTTTTTGTGTTAGGAGTTGGCGTTCGTGTGTCCTTTTTATTTAGGGTTAGGAAGGTTTTTCGTTTTTATTTGTATTGGAAATCTCTACTTTTTTTCTCTCTCATCTATCTATCTATTTATCTCCTCCTCCTCCCTTCTCTCCCCTCCTTCCTTCCTCCCATCCGTCCTCCTCCCCACCTTACCTCTACCCTCCATCTATCTCCCTCTTCTTCCCTCCTCCTCCTCCTCCTGTTTCTCATTCTCCCCCTTTTCTTCTCTCTCTTTCTTTACCTTTCCCTGTAAAAAAAAAGATACTTCCTCGAGGCCAAATTCCCTCCTGGCGGCAAGATTGGATGCGTGGTCTTTGGCGGATGAAACTTTGCGGGTCCGTAAGCGAGACGCCCGTGCCAGCGAAGCATTTCACCTCCTCTGTGTGTCCTCCTCTTCCTCCTCCTCTTCTTCTTCCTCTTTGTCGTCCTCTTGTCCCCCTCTTTGTCCGTCCCTTCCTCCTCTGTTGTCACCTCTTCCTCTTCTCTCCTGTGTGTCCCTCTTCCCCTCCTCTGTGATCTTTGTGTCCTCTCTTCTTCCCTCCTCTCGTCGTCCTCCTCTGTGTGTCCTCTTCCTCCTCCTCCTCCTCTTCCTCCTCCTCTGTGTGTCATCCTCTTCCTCCTCCTCTGTGTGTCCTCCTCTTCCTCCTCCTCTGTGTGTCCCTCTTCCTCCTCTCTTCCTCCTCCTCTGTGTGTCCTCCTCTTCTTCTCCTCTGTGTGCCCTCCTCTTCCTCCTCCTCTGTGTGTCTCCTCTTCCTCCTCCTCTTCCTCCTCTGTGTGTCCTCCTCTGTGTGTCCTCTCCTCCTCCCTCTTCCTCCTCCTCTCCTCTTCCTCCTCCTCTGACTCTTCCTCGTCCTTTTTGTCCTCCGAGTCTGCCTCTTGGCCCTACTCCTCCTCCCAGTCCTCCTTGTCCTTCTCCACCTCTTCTTTGTCCTCCTCCACCGCTTCTTTGTCCTCCTTTTTATCTTCCTCTTCGTCCTCCTCCTCCTCCTCCTCTTTGTCCCACGTGTCCTCCTACTGTTGATCCTCTTCCTCCTACTCCACCTCCGCCGAGTTATTGTCCTCCTCATCCTCCTCTATCTTCTATTTCCTCTCTTTGTCGTCCTCCTCCTCTTCCTTCTCCTACAAGTGCTACTTCTTATCCTTCTTTTTCTTTTCTCATTTTATTTTTCTTCTTTCCCTTTTCCCCCTTCTTTATAAGCTTCTTTTCCTTAATTTTCCTCTTTTTCTTCTTTATCTTGATCTTCTCCTTCCCTCCACCTTCTCTCCCTCCCTCTCCCCCCCATATCCCCCATCTCCCCCTCACCATCCTTCCCTCCCCCTTCCTTCCCTCCCTCCCTCCTCCCTCCACCTTCCCTCCCTCCCTCCCCCTCCCTCCCTCCCTCCCCTCCCTCTTCCCTCCCCTCCCCTCCTCCCTTCCCTCCACCTTCCCTCCCTCCATCTTCCCTCCCTCCATCTTCCCTCCCTCCCCTCCCTCCCTCCCTCCCTCCCACCTTCCCCCCCTTCCCTCCCTCCACCTTCTTCCCCTTCCCTCCACCTCCCTCTCCTCCCCTCCCCTTCCCCTCCCCTCCCTCCCTTCCCTCCCTCCCTCCCCCTCCCTCCCTCCCTTCCCTCCTTCCCTCCCTCCTCCCTTCCCCCCCCTCCACCTCCCCCTCCCCCCCTCCCCCCCTCCCTCCCCCAAGCGTGAACTGGGAGCGCCCGAGGGCAGCGCACGGCAGCATATCGACATCACTTATTTACAGCTGAGTCTTGGTATATTAGACGCCCGGGATCGCCGACGGGCTGCGGCTGGCGAGAGTGACGACGACGCGTTGCGGTTGTCTGGGTGCACATACACATACGTACATGTACACACACACACGGACATATACACACACGTATATGTATACGTATGTACATGTACACATACGTATATTTAGATACACGTATATGTAGACACACGTACATGTATACATACGTACATGTATACATACGACATGGACACATAACGGACATGGACACATAACACCGGGATGCATACACGCCTCTGTGTACGTTTTTTACACGTGTGTATGTGTTTGTGTGTGTGTGGAGGGTATGTGTGTGCGTGTGCGTGCGTGCGTGTGTGTGTGTGTATTTTTGTATATAGAATCCCCGTCCATACCCTACCCACCACCACACCCTCCCCCCTCCGCCAGGTACCCCCAACCCACCCTTTAGGCCGGCGAGTGTTCCGTGAATCTTACAGAGGGAATTGACAAGGCAGCCTCTCCCGGACGCCGTAACCCGATCTCGCTTCGGGGACGCGCCATGATCGACGCCTTCGCCTGAGCTGGGGGGGGGGGGGGAGAGGGAGAGGAAAGGGGAAGGGGAGAGAGAGAGAGAGGGGGAGGGAAAAGGGAGGGGGAGGAAGAGGGAGGGTGGAAGGGGACGGGGAGGGAGAGAGAAGAAGAGGGAGGGAGAGGGGAAGGAAGAGGGAGGTAGGATAGAGAGATAGAGAGATAAAGAGATAGAGAGAGAGAGAGATATGAAGGGAGAGGGTAGAGAGGGGAAGGCGAATATGGGAAAGGGTAAGCGGTGGAAGAGGGAATAAGAGAGAAGCAGAGGGAGAGAAAGAGAGAAAGAGGATCGATCAGAATAAAAACGAAGGATAAAGAGAAAGTAGGAATAATAAAGAGAAGGAGAGACGACAAGAAGAAAGAGAAGGAGAAAGGAGACGTTACTAGAAGTGTGCAAGACGCTAAATATAGATATATGAACGAAGTGAGACAAACAGAACGAAGTGAGACAAACAGATACGAAGAGAAATTATCAGAAAAGAAGAGAAAGGCGTAGATCGATAGATCAATAGACAGAGACATAGAGAAAAAGATAGACAGACTGTCAGAGAGGAAGAGAGAGAGAGGGGGAGAGGGAGGGAGAGAGACTGACAGACAGAGAGAGACAAACACACCCACAGAGACAGCCAGATAAAAACAGACTTACACGGACACACACACACACACACACACAGAGACACACAGAGAGAGAGAGAGAGAGAGAGAGAGAGAGAGAGAGAGAGAGAGAGAGAGAGAGAGAGAGAGAGAGAGAGAGAGAGAGAGAGAGAGAGAGAGAGAGAGAGATAGAGAGAGAGAGGAGAGAGAGGAAGGGAAAGAATAGATAAAGAATAAGAGAGAGAGAGAAAGGAGAATGAATAGCAAGAGCGAGAGCGCGAGAGACCCGTCTAGTTGAAGGAATCAGTGGTAAACCCGCCGACCCCGAGTCTGGTCGTGTGAGGGAGGCGAGAGGAAATCTCCAGAGACGCGGGAGAAGGGGGGGCGGAGGGGGGGCGACGAAGGAGGGAGAGGGGAAGTGAGGGGAAGAAAGGGGACGCGAAAGAGGGGAGGAAGACAAAAATGGCAGGGTGGATGGAAATCAAGAGTAGAAAGGTGAGGGTGATTATTGATGATGAAGGGAGGAAGGGAGAGGGAGAGGATAAAGAGAGGAACCGGAGGGAGGGAGGGATTAGAAGGCGGCCGGGCCGATATATGGAGGTGAGAAGAAAAGGGGAACGAGAAGAGAGAGAGAGAGAGAGAGAGAGAGAGAGAGAGAGAGAGAGAGAGAGAGAGAGAGAGAGAGAGAGAGAGAGAGAGAGAGAGAGAGAAAACAATAATGATAATAACGAAACAACGAAAAAAAAAAACACACAAACATATACACACATACACACACACCCAAAAAAGAGAGAAGAAAAAAAAATAAAAACCGCCAAAGCCTCCGTCACATTTCGCAGCAGCTCCTGTATCTCTCACCGTTCGCGAATACAAGGACTCACGCAGCGGCCCCGAAACCCACGCATTTTCGGCGCAGTAGGATTAGGACGCGAATTTATCCTTCGTTATATATAGGATTGCCATTAGTGGATAGGGGGAAATTTTCGGCACCGTTGCTTAACACCAATTATTGAGGAAGCAGTATAAGAGTGATAAAGCTTGGATTTATGATAATGTATAACAATAACAGTGTGACTATAGAATATGTGGAGAAGTTTTATTTATATTTATGTATTTATGTATGTTTTTTATTATTATTATCATTATTCATTTTCCTATTTATTAAGATTTTGTTTTGATTACGGTAGATGGGAAATGTGATAATGATAAGGGTATTTTTTTATCTTTATTTAGTATTCTATTTATTGAATTGAGATTTTGTTTTGATAACGGTGGATGGTAGATTTGATCATAATGATAAGGGGAAAATGAGATTATTTTTATAATTGGTTATTTGTGGTAGAATCGTCTTTATTTATTATTAGTCTGGTCTTAATCATCATTATGATTAAGAAGAGGAGAAGAAGAATAAGCAGAATAATTACATTGATGATTATGATGATTATGAGTTTGATGTTACAGGTGATAATAGTGATAACAGTAATTTAAAATTAAACAGTTATACAAATTAGAAAATAAGTAAATAAATGAAAAAATAAAAAACTTCGGTTTCAATTGAATTTCGACTTCGACAACAGCTCGCTCTCTCCCTCCCCTCCCC